CAGCAGAAGACGACGACGATGGACCGCGCGTGGGCAGCTTCGCCGAGACGTACAGCCTCGGCGAGCAGCTCGGCGACGGCTCGTACGCGACGGTGCACAAGGCCGTCGCGTGGGCGACGGGCGAGACCGTCGCAGTCAAGCGCATCAAGAAGGCATGCAAGCTTCGCGACGTGCGCGCCGAGATGGCGTTCGTGCGCAGCCTCGCGCACCCGAGCGTTGTGTCGGTGCGCGACTTTTTCGTCGAGTCGGACGGGTACTATGTCGTCATGGAGCTTGTCCGCGGCGGCGACCTCTACGACCGACTGCATAAGAAGGGCGTGTTTCCGGAAGAGAAGGTGCGGGCGCTCATCTACAACCTCTTGGTGGCCGTGCACCACTGCCATGAGCGCAAGGTCATCCACCGCGACCTCAAGCCCGAGAACGTCCTCCTTGTCGACGACGACAGCGACGTGGACATCAAATTGGCCGACTTTGGCTTTGCCGCCAACGTCTCGTCCAAGCCGCTCGTCGATATGTGCGGCACGGCCGGGTACGCGGCCCCCGAGATTGCCAAGGGCTTGCCGTACTCGACGCCCGTCGACATTTGGAGCATCGGCGTCATCATGTTCGTCCTCATTACGGGCAGCCTGCCCTTTGGCACGGACCGCGAAACGTTCCGAAGCATGTGCCCGCTGTCGCGGCCGCCGCTGTGGTACCACCCGTACTTTTGGAGCGTCATCTCGCATGACGCGCAGCGCTGCCTCGAGCGCATGCTCGTGGTCGAGCCGGCGTGCCGCGCGACGGCCGACGAGCTCCTCGACGACCCGTGGTTCTTTCCGCTGAAAGCGCCGACCCTCGAGCCGCATCCCCGCTTTCGCCGCAGCTCGACGGCGTTTCAAAAGTACATCAAGCCGCTCTGGAAGCGCGTCTCGGGGTACCTTCCGCGGCGCCAAGCGCAAGAATTTGCGCTCTAACGTGTCCTTTGATCGAAGAAGGCGTCTATTGTTATTACTCGTATCACTATTTGCTAACCTATTATCGAATGTTTTGTTTTGTTTGCTTTTGTTTGTTTACACGTGAGCTAAACTTGGAGGGATGCCCGAGGCGCCGCGACCGGCCACGGCCGTCATCTATGCGAGCCAGAGCGGCGACGCGGCGCAAATGGCCCTCGAGCGCAGCGTCGTGCACATGATCATCGAGCGCGAGACGTGCCTCGAGGCGCTGCTGCAAGTGACGCCTCACTTCCGCGACCCGCACAGCAAGGTGCGACCGTGGAAGGTCATCGCCAACCTCACGCTGCAGTACCGGCGCGCGTCCATTGACGTCGTCGAGGGCATTCGGCAGTGGCGAGCGCTCTTGGTACGCACGCTGATCTACTAGATGTGACCTTGTCGATCTGATCGCGCCATGCACAGGGCGCGCCGCGGCAGGCCTTTCTGTGGAAGCAGACCAACTACTTGGAAAAGATGCTAGACGACACGGCGGGCTTCGCTCAAGTGCCAGAAATGTTTCGTGACAACCACGGCGACCTCGCACTCAACCCCTTCCTATCGCCCTTCGCGCTCACCGACGCCCTCTTTGGCCTCGACGAGCCGGCGATGCTCGCCAAGGCGCGGCTCGCGGGTAGCGAAATCGGCGGCATCGACATGGATCGTATTTGCCGCGCGTCCAAGCTGCTCTTGGGCGAAGGCGTCGTGCGGACGAAAGCCGAGACGCCGACGAAGGACGAGCCGCGTAGCACCCCTGAGACGCCAAAAGGCCAGGCGGGGACGCCACTGCCAGTCGAAGCGCCGGACCTCGCGCCGCACGACAAGCTCATGCTCATGAAGCTGCACGTAGACCACGGCAGAGCCAAGCTCCATGCGCTCGAACAAGACCGCGCGAGCCTCTCGGAGCGCATGACCGAGATCACGGCCAAGCTCGAGGCGACGACACTGCCGAGCAAGGTGCGCGTGCTCCAAACCAACCTCGGCACGCTCAACAACAGCTCCGAGCGGTCTCGGGCGAGATCTTCCAGCGGCGCAACGAACTCACGCGCCAAGAAGCGACGTACCGGCTCCAAGCCAGCAAGGCCAAGCGACCGCGGCCGCAGATTCCCGACGAGCTGCACCAAGTGGTCGCGCAAGACCAAAGAATGCGCGGACGAGCTCGTCGCAGCCCTCGCGCGTCGCGAGCCCGAGCCAGCGACGCTGGCGCTCGACGCGATGAACGAAGCACAGGTCTTTTGCCTTTGTCAAGGACCTCGGCCTCGACGCGTGTGCCGAGAAGCTCAAGGCAATGGGCATTGACGGCCCGCTCCTGGCCGTACGTCAAGCTATACTTTGTCCTAAGAAAACGACGTGGTGCGTAGGTCAGCACCGACCAGGACCTTCAAGAGCTCGGCATCGAGGTGCGGCTCCATCGCGTGAAAATTTTGCGCGAAGTCGAAAAGCGGCTCAAGGACGGGCAGTAGCGTTTCATACCCTACCCCTGCATTGGGACCATAACCTACCCCTGTTGACTGGCGTTGCAAGCATGTGTCTCGATGTTACAATACCACTAGCAAACCTTTGGGCGTCGTGCTAGACTTGGCTGAAGCCCCTCTTTTCGGTTGTGTGCATGGAGCAAGTACACTAGGGTGCTTCTCGCCTCGACGTCCACAGGCCCTCCTCCTCGTGCACCGGGGCACAGCGGGCCGACCGAGAGGCCACTTGTACGACAGGGTTACACGCGATTAGTAGAGTGTCTGTGAATAAAAATGCCACGCGCTCACTTGGCGTGGGGCGATTGGCGCCGGAGCTCGAGCACGAGTTGGCGGGCCGACGGGCGCAGTTCCGGGTCGTGCTCCAAGCAGCGCAGCGCGATCGCATGGACCCACTGCGGGCACTCGGTCGAGAAGGACGGCGAGAGCGTTCCGTTGATGACCATGCTCATAATCGCTGTGTCGACGAGCGGCTTGTGCGTGATCGGGTGGCGGCTCTCCGCGTACGGGATCTTGTGCGTATCGAGCTCCGAGAGGAGGATCCCGAACGAGTAGATGTCGGCGGCGACGCTGTAGTGCCCTTCCTTGAGGATCTCGGGCGCCATCCAGCGGTACGTGCCGACGCCGACCGTCATGGTTTCTTGCAAATCTTCTTTTGAGACGCCAAAGTCGGTGAGCTTGACCGTCTCGCCGTCGCTCGAGTCGAGGAGGACGTTGCGGGACTTGAGGTCGCGGTGGATAATCTGCATCGAGTGCAAGTACACAAGGCCTTCGAGGATGTGGCTCATGATTTTGTGCTTGAACTCCCACGAGACTGCCATTGGCGAGTGATTGGCCAAGTACGACTTGAGGTCCCCACGGTCCATGAACTCCATGACGGCCATGAAATCCACGGGCCGCGTCCAGCTCACACCGTAGAGCTTGACCACATACGGCGACTCGAACCTACGACAACGGCAAATAAGATTCGTACGATGATGATGTGCTGGATACAGACCGCGCCATGAGTTTGCACTCGTTGATAAAGTTGAGAATGTCCTTGGGCGACGACTTGTTGGGCAGGAGTCGCTTGACCGCGACGATCGCACCGTTGTAGCTGCCCTTCCAGACTTCGCCGTACGCGCCTTCTGCGAGCTTCTTGTGCAGCTCGACGCCCGAGACGCGCAAGAACTCGAGGTCCCCGAGGTCGTGGACGAGGCCGCCGAGCGTCGAGTTGCCGGCAATGTCAAGCGTCGATCCGTTCGTGAACTGGTTGCCGCTTCCAAAGGGCGACGCGGCCACGTACGTCTCGAGCTGCTTCTGGAGGTTCCGGCGCTTGATGCAACAGTACGTTGTGAGAGCCGCGATGAGCACAACGGCGCCAATCGAAATGCCCACAATGACCAACGTATCTACAACGACATCCGTCCGTATCCATGCACGAGAGACGAGATAGATAGATGTACAGTTGACGGGCGACCCAATGACGCACACGTGGACCGTGACGTTGGACTTGCCAGCCCAGAGTTGTCGGATGTCACCGTGGAGCTTGTCGCAAGCCGCCTTGTCCGAGTGGATGTTGTCGATGATGTTGAAGCCGCGAAACTCGATGGTCGCTCGGGACTCGTTGCGGTCCCACGGGTCGAGCGCGTCGAGCGCGGCAAAGGACGTCATGTCCACGTTGAAGACGGTCAACGGGCAGCCCTCGCAGTCGCTACAAAAGGTTGACGCCATGTTTGGATCAAGGTGACATAGTACAAGTAATGCAGCTTGGACGAAAAGGTCACATTGTCGATGCGCGTGACCGGGTTTCTCTTCATGCGACTACGGGTGAGAGTGAGATCTCGTGCCGAATGCGACCGGCGTACAAGTAGTAGAGGTTGGTAAAATCCCAGTTGACGACTTCCTTGACGCGGTTGTCTCGGAATTTCCTGTCAAATGACATGCGTCAAAACCGATGGGGCACGAGGGGAACGTACAGCACGGAGAGGTTCTTCGGCAGCGAAATGCCAAGGTTATCAACGTAGTTTTTGTGGATCGACCTACTTGACACATTGATACGATTGCAACACAACGCAAACAACGTACAAGAAGGTGACGCCATCCGGTAAGTTGTGCGGGAGGTCCTGGAGATGGTTGTCAATCAACGTCCTAGAATCGGGTCAGAGCGGCAAGCAGTCTCGTCGTATTGCCGTACAGCTTCTCGAGTGACTTTGGCCACACAAGCGACGGCGGTATGACTTGCACGGTGCAGTTGGAGAAGTACCTAGAGGACCACTTGAATCACCATTTGATACGGCCAAGCGACGAGTACATGACGGTGAGCGAGTCGGGCAAGTAGAGTTCATCGAGATTTTCAATCTCGGTCACATTCCAAAAATCCCTAATGGTCATTAAGTGACGAGATGGACGCGCTGGCTGAACCAACAGAAGCGTTGATGTCGGTGGCATCTTCAAGTGCTTGACGTCAACCGTCTTGGTGTTGAAGACATACCTAAACCAAGTGTGATGGACATCCACCGGCAAGATTACGGAACGTACAAGCTCTGGAGCGACGCCGGCCACGTGAGGCCCGGTGGAAAGTCGCCGACGCTCGTGTTCACAAAGTACCTAACCGCCTATAGCATGAGCACATGCGTGGTCGTCTGCAGAGCGCACATTTCAGCGAGCGAGGGTGGCAGCGTTGTCGTGTTCAGGCCCGTAAACTCGGCCACGTTTTGAAGCGTCCTACAGCCCATGTCGTGAGCTTAACCGGGCACATCGCAGGTAGGATCGTCTACAAGGTGGTAGCCGTCGGCGGCAAAATGGCCTTGGAGAGGTCGAGCGATGGCAGATCGCCAAGCACGCTATCGCATTATGAGCCTCCGATGCGTGAATAGCTGCAGGCACGTACACAGTCTTGTTGGTCGTCAAGCGCGAGAGGTCGCCGAATGCATCGGGGTCGGTGCCATCGGTGCGAATGGCGCACGTCCGCGTGACCTTGCAGGGTCGATTGCTGCTGCCACACTCGGCGCCGGTCGTCCAGATGGCATCGATCCACGTCGGGAGGCGCTCGTACGGACACGTCGCGGCGTCGAGCATGGCGCAGGCGGCGCCGAGGATGGCCGCCGTCAAGTGGCGCATCGTTCTTATTCCGCTCTGAGCGCGGTGGAAATGTATTGGGTCATCAAGAAAAAGACGTGTGACACACATGGTCCGCCAACCGACCTATCATTTGGTTCGAGGAACGCGCGGGCGAGAGACGCCTGACGAGACAAGACGCGCGCTCTTCGTTCGCGCAGTAGTCGTATGCTCCATGCACTTGACACCGCACAGAGACGCGCGTGCGTACCCTGGTTGGTTCGGTGCTGCACCGGCGCCAAGCCGACCCGCAGAGTGGGATGTGGTTGGTTGAAGATTCGCCCGCCACGATGGGTACAAATGCACAAGGCTTGGAAGAGGCGAGCTACAGTAATGCCGGCGACGTCAATTCAAATGGTCCTTGTCGACGCTAGTACCAGTAGAGGGCAGTACTTACATGCGCCGGCGGAGGAGGACGGTGAAGAGCGCGTCGCGGCAGTCGTGTACTACCGCGCTGGCCACGGACGTTTGCTGCTGCGAGCCAAGATACCGGTACCCTGATACTATATTCCAACGCTGCAATGTCAACCCTGTCGAGTGCTCTAGACGCAAAAGCTGGAAAGGACTATGGATGGAAAGCTACACTAATGTCGATAGTAATACCGGTACGTGTTAGCCTTCTACCTTCCTAGTACACATGGAACGCCGGAAGCGCCGATGCGGCGCCGTCACGGCAGCCGCCACGCTGAGCACTGGCCGCAACCGACAACAGCAATTGGCTCTTCTAGCCGGGCCGCAGTAGCCGGCTCGGTTAGCCGCGTCATGAACCGTGTTGTCAAACCAGCTCGTTTCGAACCGGTTGGAAAGGGGAGCGGTTCGACGGGGCTTCCACGGATCAGAACCCATTGCAATTCTTGACTCAGCGAGCATGGCCGCCAGCAGCACACACCGCGTCGCGATTGTCACGGGCGGCTCCAGAGGCATTGGCGAAGCCTGCGTCGTGAAGCTCCTGAGCCAAGGCTACAAGGTCTACAACCTCGACATTGCACCGGCGTCCAATGGCATCTTTGTCGCTTGCGACGTGAGCTCCGTCGCCACCGTCGAGGCCGCGGTCGCTGCGATCGTGGCCGAGAACGGCCATGTCGACTGTCTCGTGGCCAACGCCGGCATCTACTTCAGCGCGACGATCGAAGAGACGTCTGAGGTCGACCTCGACCGCATCATCAACCTCAACATCAAGGGCGCGTATGCGGCCATCAAGGCGACGCTGCCATCGATGAAGGCGCGCAAGAAGGGCGCGATCATCGTCATGTCATCGGACCAGGCCTTTGTCGGCAAGAAGAACTCGTTCGCGTACAACCTCTCCAAGTGCGCGCTGGCGTCCATGGTCCGCACGACGGCGCTGGACTATGCGCCGTTCAACATTCGCGCCAATGGCGTGTGCCCCGGCACGATCGAGACGCCGCTGTACCACCGCGAGATCAACCTCTGGGCTGAGGCGTCCGGCACACCGTTGAAGGATATCGAGGCCAGCATGGCGGCGCTCCAGCCGCTCAACCGCGTCGGTCAGCCCTCGGAAGTCGCGAACCTCGTCGCCTTCCTGGCGAGCGACGAAGCGTCGTTCATCACGGGCAGCCTCCACTCGGTCGACGGTGGCTACGTCGCGCAGTAAGGATATATGTCATTGGTATGACACGGATGGCGTCCTGTGCGTAAATGTACTACGTTGTGGTTTGCATGATGTCTCCTCGGTAGTACATGCGTACACATGAAGCTCTGCAAGTGTCCACAAGGTGTGGAGGAGCAATAAGCCAGGCCATACCAACCCCTGGATGCTATCGACTGAGCTATTATAAAGCGACAGGACACCTCCGTTGCCATGCATCGAGCTCCCGTCGTGGTATGCAAGATACGTTCTCGACGAAGGCTAGCGAGCACCAGCAGATCATTTGGACGATGCATCCGGAAGCGAGGCTCGCATTTCATCTCGCAGCACGCGACTGCCAATGCAGTCGCTTAGGTGATGGAAGGCGACTGCTCGGAGGGTGGACGGCGACACGACCTGGCCTCTCTGGGCCTGGTGCTGCTCACAAGCCGACGTTCGGCTGGCAAAGACACGATCTTCGGTCGAAGTTCGAAGCAATAAGAAAGTTTACAGCCGAAGAACCAATCCGAATTTCCGTCGCAGCCGTCCACAGGTCAAAGCATGCTCGCCGTGGGCCGATCGATCGCGATGCGCAGCCTCCGCGCGTCCCTCCCGGCGACGTCGGCGGTCCGCGCCTTCCATGGCAGCCGCCAGCTCCTGCGCTATGATGACTTTGAAAGTACGATGCGTGCGACGCCCATGAACATGGTACTCAAGTGTTTGCCCGTGGCGCAGTCCCGCTCATGCAGCTTCTAGGGCGTCTTGATCGTGCCGCAGCAGCGCGCCGTACGCTATAGCATTGTACTTCCGATATAGATCTCATTGGTGCTTAGTGGGTCGTCGAGCGCTTTGGCAAGTTTCACTCGGTGCTGGACCCGGGTCTTCACTTTCTCATTCCGGTCGTTGACCGCATTGCGTACGTCCACTCGCTCAAGGAAGAAGCGATCAAGATTCCTGGGCAGTCGGCGATCACAAAGGACAACGTCACGATTCACATCGACGGTGTCTTGTACGTCAAGGTAGGTCGATTGCCCTCGCGTCTCGAAGCCACCCATGTCCTAGATCATTGATCCGTACCATGCGTCGTACGGCGTCGAAGACCCGTTGTACGCCGTGACGCAGCTCGCGCAAACAACGATGCGCTCGGAGCTCGGCAAGATCACGCTCGACAAGACGTTCGAGGAGCGTGAGAGTCTCAACAAGAACATTGGTTGGTATCCATGTCGACGCACGATGTGTGCTCATCGTATTGCCTAGTCTTGTCGATCAACCAGGCCGCCGAGGCCTGGGGCATCAAGTGCCTCCGGTACGAGATCCGCGATATTGCGCCGCCAGCGAGCGTCAAGGCGGCCATGGACATGCAAGCCGAAGCCGAGCGCAAGAAGCGCGCCGAAATTTTGGATTCCGAAGGTGCGGTAGCTTCTTCCGCGCCAGTGACGTGACGCATGTGCAGGTGAACGCCAGGCGTACATCAACGTGGCCGAGGGTAAGAAGCGTGCGATCGTGCTTGAAGCCGAAGGTACGGCCGCGGCCATCGTGGCGCGGGCGACGGCGTCGGCAGCGGCGATCCGGTCGCTCTCCAAGGCCATCGAGGAGGATGGCGGCTCGAACGCCGTTGCGCTCCAAGTCGCTGAAAAGTACGTCGAGGCGTTCGGAAACGTCGCGAAGGAGTCGACGACCGTGCTGCTGCCGGCCAACACGAACGATCCCGCGGCCATGGTGGCGTCGGCGCTCTCGATCTTTGCGAATGTGCAAAAGAAGACGGGCGTCAAGCCCTCGACCGCCAAGGCACCCAAGGCAGACGACGCCGACTACGAGCTCGACGTGTTGCCGCCGCTGGACCACACCAAGCAGCCCTCGTCGTCGCCTTAGTGCCCTCTATCTTGGTCGTCGACTAGAGAAATGTACAGCCACGGTGCTCTTTTGATCACTTGATACATTGATACGAAACGAATGAAACGCATGGTCGTTGGACCCGACAACGACGCAGACAATAAGGACGACGAGCAAAAGGAACACGAGTCGGCTGCATGTATACTACGCAACTGCTGCAGTACGAAGAGAACCACAGCTGTCACGAGAGTCCAGGTGGCGCTGACACTGACGTAGCTGGAAGAGCTCATGGTGTGGGTGATGTTGCACGTGATATTGAGCGCCGACGACGTCCGCTTGCTCGAGCGGTCGCCCGGGTTGGAGAGGCCTCTTGTCTGCAGCGGCGGCGCGCCGCCCTCGGACCAGACGCAGCACGGATCCCCGAGCTCCTCGCCGTTGGTCTGGCCGTCCCAGTCTTTTGACACAAGCTCACGGTCCACTAGCCGTCAAAGTCCCGCCCGAACGCAATGAGGGACGCGCCGCTGCCCACGTGGCCAATCATGGCCGAGCTCGCCACGTTGTTACCGTTCGGGAGGCGCGCCACGTACTCGGCCCGGGCCACGACAACAGCGCCAAGAGAAGCCAGACGACAACAAGTACTCGCGCCATCGGCCAACCGTTGAAGAATCAGCCAAAGACGCCGCAGGGCTCACGTTGAAGCCAGAGGCAACTTACACTTCAACGTGATGGCGATGGGCATCCGCCATGGAATTGGGGGAAAGGAAAATGCAAGCGTGAAGATGCCATTGCCAAGCACTTTTGACGCACGACGTCCATCGCCGTACTGGTGCAGCCACGGCCTCCGACGGAACGCGTGAGGATTGCGAAACGACATGCGGCGCTCCAGAGGGCTTGACATTTTGCAAAAAGACTTGGGGCCATTGGAAGCATTGCGAGGGAAGAATGCTCGGTCGGCTTCAACACCGCCGTGGTCCCTACTAGACTGCTGTGCTATGGCGTGTCCGCGGAGGCAGGCGACGGTAGATGGCGGCAACGACCGGTCTGACAAGCACGCTGTCGGACTACGATTTCAACATGCCGCGGTGGAGCGATTCGGTTGCTCTCCGTCAACTTGAAGCCGTGCTCAAGTTGCAGCACAAAGATAGCAAGGAAGATTTCAAAAGATTAGAAGGCGATGCATCGTTGCTGCCCACGAACGCGGGGACTCGAGCGTATCTTCTCATAGCAACCGCCAACCCGCCAAGAGACCCGAGCTGCTTCAAGCATTTGTCACGGACGCTTCTCCCACACCGCAAATGCGAACCGCAAGCAGCGAATGGTCGGGACTCGAAAGCATCCTCGTTGATACATGTAGCACTGGTACTAGAAGAAGCCTCAGATACGTGTCTAAACTACAAAACGGCCTCGCTACGAGCCTGTACTTATGCTCAAGTCATCATACTGTGTCCTCTTCTGCCTCGTGGCTTGTCGTTACGGCTTGGTGCACCAGTTGGCGGTCCTGCCTCTGGAGCCCGCGATCTTGGCGCCATTCCCATTGTTGCTCTTCAAAAATACGCATCTCTTTTTATTATGCATACAAATACCGAGTGTCTGGCCTGATGTATAATAAAATACAACAGCGGCTGGTAGGTCGATTGCATTATAGCCAATCGCATCGCTGGAACCGGCCGGTCTGCCGCCACTTGCAATTCGAAGACGATGCAGGAAGCGACAGCGTCGGCCATCACCGAGGTCCAAGCGCTGCAGACGTGGCTCTCGACGTGCATGGACGGCGTCCTAAGCTTAGCCTCCTGCGCCGACGCTCGCTACGTTGTCGTCGAGACCGACGTGCAAGCGGAGCTCGAGGTGCTTCACGCGACGCTCGACGACCTCCATGGCGTCGTGACCCGGCCACAGACCGTGGCGCTGAGCCACTTGACGGGCGTAGCGAAGGAGCTCGTCTCGCTCCTGCAGACGCTCCATGCGGCGTACTTGGAAGACCAGAAGCGCTGGTTGCCGTTCACGAAGAAGGCGGCCGAGTCTGTGCACCTTCTAGACGCGCTCGTCGGCCGCCTGCAGCGGCGAACCAAGCGCTTCTTGAGCGTCTTGGCAATTCCAGGCTCGCCCGCTCCCAAAGCTGTCGCCGACGGTAGGCGCTCACTTGCGGCGTCCTCGAGGTTGACATGACGCCCCATAGTTGATCCCACGACGCCCCATACCGAAGAGCTCTTTGGCTCGCTTCCCGCCGAAGACCGCCCGATCGAGTCGACGTTCATCAAGTACCATCAAAAGTACGTTGCTGATTTGGCCAAGCAAGATGCGCTGCATCGGTCGGCGACCAAGCAGAAGCGCCGACAGACGCTCGCCACGATGCAGAGCCCGGTCCGAAAACAGCCCCGGTACAGTGAAGACTTGACGCGACCGCCGATCCAATAAGCCAAAACGTTGTCTTTCTCATGCTGCTCTTGCCTTTATCATTCATGCAGCCAAGCGGAAAGGACCCCTGGGAAGGCCACGCACTGCCAACTTGAACAGGGCTCGAGTCCATGAATGAACGACCAAGACACCACGAGTCTTCGTTATCGTACAAGTCAGTGCAGATGCATCTAATCCATAGTCTCTTCGAGGACCTCGATGCGGGTCGCACCGGCCGCTTTCTCTGCAAAATACGACTGGATCAAGAGCACCTTGTCGTGCGAAATGTTGTACGCGGGGTGGGTCGGCTCGACGCGGTTCTCAGGCGAGCCCGCAATAAAGACAGGTGTCTCAGGGCGGCCGTCCCCGTGCTGCGAGAGCGATAGGCCACTCAGAACGTAGCACGAGTGGTAGTGGTCGCGAGGCTTGCCTGGCTTGTCGCGGAGACCGCCTTCGAGCTGCTGGCCACACAGCAAAATGTAGCGTTGGTGGGCTGCGCGGTCGCTCACGTAGATGCCTACAGGAGCATGATTCGAGTGAAGAGCAAGCGAAGACGAAGCGTACCACGCGTGTACGGGGCCAAGAGCGCAGGCACGGCCCCCATCCAGAAGCTGTAGCACCCGTCGACGAGCTTGTTGGTGCGGCCTTGGTAACCGCCCTCGACGGCCATTTGACGGTGCGCGACGTAGTGCTATGCAGAGTCATTAAAGAAGGACGACGTTGGCAACGGTAGCGCTACCGTGAGGGCGGGGATGTTGACCCGGTCCAGCGCGTTCAAGATCGAGAGGATCGCCGCGCCCGAGAAGGTGTAGCCGCCGTGCGCTTCCTGGTACGGCATGGGTCCGAAGCCACCTTCGTACGTCTGGCACGCGGCCACAAATTCGGCGACGCCAAGCGTGAGTTCCGGCGTCAAAATGCCAAACAAACTCGCAATCGAAATGACGCAATACGTGATGCGAATGTCGACCTCGCTACACACCGCATGAAGATCATTGCATCGTCAAGACGCGAGAGAAAGACGTCGTACCCTTGGTCGTGCGCGTGGAAGGCGCCGGTGACCGGGTCCTTGTTGGCGAGGAAGAACGCATGAAGCGCCTCCCGGTCGACAATGTCGTACGCTTCCGGCGTGCCAATGATGGCCAGTGCGAGGCAGGACGCGTACGTCGTCGCCATGTGGCCCATCTGGAGAATGCCCCCGCCGAAGCCGCCGCCAAGTGCGTCGCTCCAGCAGCGCTTGATCGTGTTGAGGCACGCGGCGTGGAACGACTGCATCTCGGCGTGGGCGCCGAGCATCTCGAGCGAGTGCAGAATCCAGTACATGAACCATGGGCGGCTAGCATCCATGGACTGGAAGCCCGGTGGGAGGTACTCGAGGCCACGGATCAGGTACGGCGTGTGGCGCTCCTTGAGGAGGCAGACGCGCTTGGCCTCGTCGAGGAACCCGGCTTTCTGGAGCTGCGCAATCTCGGACGCCGGGAGCTCGTCCAGGTTGACGAAGAACGAGGTGCACGTCGCCTCGGTCTCGGCCTGCATGCGCGACGTCTGCGTCGGGCAGCCATCCGTCGGCAGCGATTTCTGCACCGGTAGGTTCATGCTGGTCCGACGTGCGCGGTATCCGGAATGAGCGGCGGCGCCAGCGAGGCTAATTGCACGCAACTTCTTAGGCAGCACAAGGGAGCTTTCTCTCGAGAGCGACGCAGGTATTACATTTGACGGTCCTACACGCTGCATGCTCTGTATAGCAATAGGCGACGAGCGGCACGCGCCTGGGTAAGGGCGCGCCTTGGTATCCCGCTGACGTTACCACGATCCTGCTGCGGCCTAGTGGGGGTGCTCAGTCCTTCCCACTTTCGTTCAAGAAAGTCACCTGCGTCAAGCACTAATGACAAGCGTCTCGGTGAGCCACTCAGCACTGATGGCTCGTGTAGTTCGGGTACCTTGCTGCATCCAAAACGACTCTGACAGGCAGCATCCCATGCCACATATCTAGGCCTTTCTGGCACACCAGAAAGAAGCAGTCAAGGCCGTCGCAGGAGATGGGCGCCTCCTTCCAACAGCTAAAGGTCGTGCAAGTATGCAAGCTATATTCAAGGACATCCGTGGCCATCAGTGTTGACCGCGGCCTGCAGGTGGGTCGCAGGTGCGCTATTTAATCGAAACATTCAATTGTGCTTACAAATAGCAAGTGGCGCAGCATTGTGTTGAGTTTAAATCCACGTCCAGGTCCGTAACCCCTCCCCTGGCCACGGTGGGATCTTCGTATACGTGGCACCCCGCCGCGTTGGAATACAAACGGCAAGTGCAACCTCGGCGCGGTGGACATGTGGCGAGATCCGGTGGTGATAGACACAACACCGTAGCACACTCAGTGGGCAAATCGGCACGTGGTGGGTACAGCTGGAGATATATACTCAAGCCGCGAACGATGATCAAGCAAGTGACCTTCAGCACCGCGACGACGTTCCTCTTTGATTTGGACTACAACGGGTCGGCGGTTCCCCATGAGAGCGGACCGCCCATTGGCCTGGCGCCGCGCCACTGTGCCATGACGATCGAGCCTGTGCCCGACGCGGCCAGATGCTGCATGCGACGAAGCCGCCTGCGCCGCTTCGACCACTTGGAGCGCATTGCGATGCTCCGAAGCCTCTACGACGCGCGGACCCTCGCCCTCTTTTGCAGCGAGGCCATCGATTTGCGCAAGTCGCGCGTCGGAACCGAGGATGACATTGTGCGCATCACGCCCCGTCCGAGCCGAAAGCGCCATTTCGAACCCGAGGTCCCAGTCGACACCAAGCGCATGCGCATGTGGGAAATGGAGTATGACGACGACGATGACGAGGAGGGCGATGACGACGAGGATAAGGACGAATCGGAGATCGACGATGACGAGCGATGAAGACGGGCGAAAACGACCTATTTATCGATGCAATACATTCCATGTGTCCACCAGTAAGAAGCATACGCGTTGACACGAGATGACTCGAGAACAAGCAAGGAGACGCCGTTTCTCTGACCACGTGACGTCGCGTCTGCCCCTACCAGATTTCCCTACCAGTTGCGTACAGAAGGAGAGCGCGGACGCGTGTGACTTTTCGCCATTGGGGGCGTCTGATAAAACCTCCCATGATCCATCGGCTGCGAGTGTGTTGCGCATCCAAGTCGATTCACTCGCTGCGCCCTCGCCTACAAGCTTTTGCCTCGCGGATTCCATCGAGCCCCATGTGGCAGGGGCTCCTCAAACCATGGAAATTCAGCAGACACAGCTTGGAATATTTCCTCGTGCAAGAGCATGGTGCAAGAGTGTGGTTCGTCGAGCTAATAGTATGGGAGAGACTGTGGGCGGCGGCGGCGTCATCCCCGCGCGCCAAGCCGACATGTCCCATGCGTCCGCTCGGTCGACTCGACACTCAACGCACAGTCGCCGAGAGGCATGCATGCACGCAAGGGACATCGCCAACGACACTACGCTTTAACATGCGCCAAGCCTTCAACGAGCACACGCAGTTGCACGCTTGGAGACGAGCCCTGTCGCAAGCGGAAAGGATTTCAAGGAAAATATTAAAACCGGACAAGAAACCATTCGCAGAGAAGCGTCGCCACGCACCCGTTCCGTGATGGAAAATATTTTTATTCGGTCCATGGCAACCCTAGCCCGCCATACGCGCGTGCTCCACCCCTCCTCTCTGCATACAAATAGCTTGATACCATGCATGTGACGGCGCGCCGTGGCGACAGTAACACATCTGACGACGCCAAAACCCAATTTGCCGCACCGCATCAACATGACCAACACCGTGAAGAAGAACGTGACCTTTAGCACCGAGACGACGTACCTCTTTGGCGTCGACGTCAACGGGTCAGCCTTGCCCAAGGAGAGTGGCCCGCCCATCGGACTTGCCCGAACGCACCACACGATGACGATCGAACGAAGCGTCGAGAGGCTCGAGAAACGCCGCCGCCGCGTGCGGAGATTCGATCACACGGAGCGCATTCGCATGCTCCAGACGCTTTACGACGCCAAGACGCTCGCCATCTTTTGCTACGAAGCCATCGACAGCCGCAAGGAACGGATCGAGACGGCCGAAGAACTCGCGCAGGCCGAGAGGTGCTTGGCCGCCCGGCGACGAAAGCGGGCCGCCGAGATGGCACCGCCTGCCGCAAAGCGCCAGCGCATGGTCTTCGCCATGGAATACGATGAAGATGAGGACGAGAATGAGGACGAGGATGATGAAGAGTAGAGCTTTTCGCGTCAGTATTTATCCTATCTAACCGCATCAAACACTTCGCTGTGACGTTTTTGTTGCCTTTCCTCCAAGCGTTTTGCACCGGTCGAATAAAAGGTCTTAGATGCCAAGCACTTAATGGGTTGTTGCTCGAGGATGCTTTCTGCGTGGACGACTCCATCGATCGTCCCTACAAGCGATCGGCTCGACGTCAACGAGTCTGCGAGTGGAGGAGCCAGCGCGTTACGTCAAAGCGACAATCGCAGCCGCGGCGTCCGTTTCTTGATGCTTCCTTGAGGTACACATGATCGTGACATCCACGAGGGCCCATCACTCTTTGCAAACATCAATCTGCCTCGCGCGCATTCAAGCGCCCTCGTCGCTCGAGGGGACGTCGTGGGCATTCGAAAAGCACGTTCAGTATAATAGTTATGTCGCGGTCGTTCTGTCATAAGAACATTACGCCTGATATTATGTTGGTGCGCCAGTTGGATTCGCATCCACACACATGTTACTGCCGACCACGTCCAAGTCCCATGAACACGGAGCTTGCTAGTGCCGACGTAGCCGTTGTTCAGCAAGAAGCATCGCAAGTGCCCCGGGAATAGTTTGATTGCCTCTTGAAATGCTCTCAAGAGTACAACGCATTTTCATGTTTGTGGTTCGAAAACATAAGGACCGTGTGTTTATATGACCCGTCGTTGAAGTACCCACACCGTTGCCGTCCTGCAGTGCAGTTGAGACCGACTCAAACTGCGCGGCTTTATTCGCCCGAGGCGCATTGGGCGCGCACGGTTGGCCAAGCTCGTGTACTGGCTCTAGTGGAGGACGAGCTACAGAGTTGGACGGTGGAGCCATCGAGAGGTGGCCATCGCGTTGAGATGGGGTCATCCAACGGCATCTGATCGCTACCATCTCAGTTGTATTCATTCGCTTCGGTGCCGCGCCTTTGTGTTTTGTGTGCAGCCCTACAAATGTAGGTACACGTATGTTCCCATGGACGGAGCCAAATGCAAAGCTGGAACTGTGGCGCATTGTGTCGCTAATCCTGTGAGAAAAAGTGATGTAATTATAACTCAATTCAAAACAACCATTGAGTCGCAAAGATGTGGTTTGAACGAATGCATCGTCGCACTCTATTCCGTCTGTTGGTGTGCCACTGCCCCGCACCAAGGCATCGGCGAGCGAAGTGTTTCCTGTCGCTTTGTAGAACAGTCCAAAGCAGATATCCATCGCATACTGCGGTCACCTCCAAGGACGAAATGGGTTTGGCAATCACTCTTCGGCCGCTGCACTAGCCCAGGGTGCTGCACTGGGAAGCAGTTTTGAGCCAACCTGGTTGGACGAATGTGGATGCTATGAAAAGGCCGAAAACGGTGCATCCCAAGCTCAACATTCGTCGCACCTTGCAACTCCCGCTTTCATTTATACTACATACAGTGCTGACAGTGCTGTACCTGTGTACTAGGAAAAGAATCTGTCATTATGGTTGAAGCCTCACATGCTTTCGAGCTTCACGTGGAACTTGGCGATGGTCAGGACGAACGCGACGAGGGAGAGGACGCCGCCGACGAGGATCGGAAGACGATATCCCATCTCGGTCATCACAAGCAATGACGCCAACACAATGTTGAGAAACTGGCCAAAGCACACGGCCGAGTTGAGCGCGCCCGCAAAGAGTCCGAGCTGGTTGGCCTCGCCGTAGCCCACGACGTGGATGATGAGCGGCATCGTCATTGGAAACAGCGTGTTTTGCGTGATCGATGAGAGCACCGCAATGGCCACGTCAACGCCGACTTCGTGCGAGAAGGCCATGACGATAAAGAGCACTTGGGGTAGTAGTGCCGCCGCCAGCACATTCTTGGCGCCAAACGTGCGCACGAGGTACGGCAGGAACGCGAGGTAGACGAGTCCCGTACTGTTGAAGAGCGTATCCGTGAGCCCGGTCGCGAGCTGCACACCCATGTTGAAGTTGGTTTGCTCGATAGTACAGTTGGTGCCGCAGTTGTCCGAGCCTTTGGCGACGCCATGATAGAGCTCGAGACCAAAGAACTGGCCTTTCACGCTGTTGTAAGCCGTGAACCCGTACAAGACGAGCACCGTAATGATACCGTAGATGCGGAGGAGAGGCGGGAGCCGCAAGATACCTTCGTACACGGCTCGGAAGGCAGCGCCAATTTGCTGAAGACGCGTCGTGCGGACTTCGATCTCGGGCGCGAACGGCTTGTCGGAGATGACGAAGCACACCAGCATCGTCGTGCTGAGGAGAATGACGATGAGCATGAAGAGGAACGCTTGCAGGTGTGTCGCGGCGGCGCCAAAGGCCATGACGAAGCCTGAAATGACAAACGACCCCATGATCGCGTACACGCCGCTGATGGACGCGGCCGTGATCTGGCGGTCGCCGGCGACGTCGGCAATGAGCAGGTTCACGGGCACTTGCGTGAGGTTCACGGAAATGTCCATCCAAATGTAGCCGAGGATCGTCAAGGCGCGCTTCCACGACGGATGCTCTTGCGTGTCTCCAAGCGCCGACGAGATGTCATCGAGGAAGATGAGGAAGAGCCAGCACAGCGCGGTGGCCCACGCGCCGCAAAAGATGAACGGTCGGCGGCGGCCATAGCGACTCGTACAGCTGTCGCTAAGCACGCCCGTGCTCGGTCCAATGAGAAAGCCCGTGATTGGTCCAATGACTTGGACGAGCTGCACCATGGACGACGAGAGAAGGGACTCGAGCAGTGGCGCGAACGCCGCCCACTGCGCCGCCCACGCCATATTGATGGCCATACGTGGCGCGCAGAGAAGAAACATGAACCGCACCGAGCAGCCCTCGGGCGCCATCGAGGCTTGCTTGCGCTTGCTGGCTTCGACGTCCTCGTCGAGACTGCTGCTGCTCTGCTGCATCATGATCGCTTTGCGGCAAATTAAAAAAATGCCGCGCGATTTACCGATACACACACGAAATCATTTTAAATAAATGTTGGTGATTGGCATCCTACCGTCGCAAGTGCAACGTCAGAGGCGTTCGGTGGCGTCGTCTTGACGATGTAGGTCTCGTGGTGGATGGCACCAGTGTATTACATTATACTGCAATAGCTACTCATCTACACGCGTACCAGATCCACGCTGTGCATGAAATATCAACCAGATCTGGGTATCGAATTGAGTGAATCCAAACGCTCTGGTTTTTGAATTAGTTTGAATTTTCACAAGGCAAAGTGTCGACATCAATCATCGTCCCATCAAGCGACCAGGGGGAATTCGAGTACGATCCCTTCACACAGCATTTTGCGACGTACCAGATTCATCCATTTCTGCATTTGTCTTGACGAGCATGGTGCGCCTTCTATCGCTGACTCTCGCTGCCGGCCTCGTTGCGAGCCAAGCCCGTGCTACGAGCAAGACATGGTCGATGACGCCTGTCACCTCGATTCAGGCGCGCGTCGTCTCGCAGGCTGCGACGTGGGACGCCAGTAAGAAGAAGTTTGGTCTCGTCCTCAAGCAACACACCAACACGTTTGAGGAGCGGTACCGCGCGGCGATGGACACCGTCAACACGGCGTCGGTCGAGGGTGCTCTCTATTACGTTCAAACCGAAGGCATCAACCAGGCCGATGCAGTCCAGTGCATGCGCAAGACCAACATGAGCTACGTCTGGTTCCTCAACGTGACGATCGTGCAGCCGACGTTTGCGATCGCAGAGTACGCTGAGAACGCGGGCGTCGTGCCCGAGTACGGCAAGTTCATCGCCATGGACGGCGGCATGTGCACTCCGCTCGACGCCAAGGGCACGCTCTCGGACGAGTGCCGGAGCCTCTCGGGTCTCGACTACCACGCCAACGTTGGCCCGTATGTCGGTGGCGAGGCGCGCAAGGCGCACAAGTACGCTGTGTACGCTGACAATTACTGGTTTTCGTACCCCAACTCGTGCTTTACCCGCAAATTCGACGCCAAGGACGACGCGTGCCGCAAGAAGCAGCCCGGCGGTCTCTGTCCGCTGGGCGTGGCGCCCGATGGCATCCGGTGCACGTATGCCTTTGACATTCTCGGGTACATCCGCATCGACGACCTCGTGGGCATCACGTCGCTGAAGAACAGCAAGACGGGGCGCCACTATGCAGACCGCGTTGAGTTTTGCAAGGACGCCAAAGTTGAGTTTGATTTCGCAACGATGGCGAGTGACCTCTCTTTTTGGAACAACCCGCTGGATGAGAAGGCCAACGCCAAGCGCACGGCGCACATGCTCTCGCTCTATAACGCGCTCATTACAGAGCGGAAGGGCGCCTACGCCAACATGAAGGCACTGCCGTCCGCAGACGACCTCACCAAGGTCAACCCGCCGTGTTGGAAGAACAGCCCGCTGTGCGCCAAGGCCACGAACGGCTGCCGCCGCAAGCTCACGGCGCAGATTTGCGAAGTGTGTTCGTCGCCTGCAGCCGACTGCGTCAAGCCGACGGCCTCGGACAGCGTGCCACCGGTCCTCGCAAAGGCGGTGGCTCCCCCGATTCCAACAGACGCCTCGGGCAAGGCAATCGCGTCTCGCAATCCGTCGGGCGCGGGCGGCACCGCCGGTGCCGCGGCCAACAGCGCTTCGTTTGCTGCTTTTGGTGCGTCCCTGGTCGCCGTCGTGGCCGTGTCTCTCCTGTGAGAGTCATGAAGACGAAATATGAGTCGCATCGTACGACCCACCACGAGACCACGCTGCAATATGTACAAGTAGGTTAACTAATAGTACGTCGTTCCTGCCGTACACTGTAGCCTTCGCGCAGAGGTGCGTTGGTCGAGGTGGTCGGCTTGGCAGTTTTCTTGGACGCTGTCACCGACGAAGCCATGACGTGGATTGACTTCATGGACGTTTCATCCGCGGTACTCCGGGGCACGGCCCGCATGGACACACGACCATGCACCGACATACCTCTGGCAAGTATGCATCCGCGAGCGCCGACCGGTACTGCGCATCGACTTGGAAAATCCACTTGGCTGCCGCCACTACGCCTCCATTCCTGTGTCGCTCATGCATCATGCACTTTGCGTGGTATAGCGTACCCCGTGCGCCGGGGCATGTTCCCGCGCAGAGAGAATCCGGATGCGAATTATCCGGTGCGCTGGCACCGATATACGCGAAATTTACGGGCCAGCATGACGACACCCGGGCCGACGATCCCCAAGTTCCACATCAAGCGGGAGGCGCCGCCAGTGGCCGACGAGCTCAGCGACGACGAAGTGGCGTCACCTCCGCGCCAAAGCAAGTTTGATCTTCCCAAAGACGCGCTGAAGCGGGAGAGCGTCCCCACGAACTTCTACTTCGTAGAGTCGTCCAAGAACTACGAGATCGAGCGCCACTTGCAGCTCTTCAAGCGCAAGGCTGACCCTGCCAAGACCGAGCACGGCGCCAAGAAGAGCAAGAAAGACATCTCTGGTACGACGAGCCAAATGACTAGGATAGCGCGCTCATGCAACGCGTCTAGACAAGAAGACGCCGGCGACGATCGACATGGCCGACCTCGTGCGCTCCAACGACGCACTCAAGCGCTCCAACGACGAAGTAGTGCGCTCCAATAAGGCCGTGATTGCAGCCAACGAAACAGCGTGCGCGCGAGTGAGGCCCTCTGCAAGGAGCTGCGCCAGGCCACGACCACCGTCAACAGCGCGTTGAAAGTCGTCTCGACAGTCTGGCAGCAGTACCAAAAGCTGCTCGAGCGCGACATCTTTTTGCGACAACAGGAAATGCGCCGCCGCGGCACCGACGAGTACGACGACGAGTACGACGACGACGTCCCGCGCATCTCGGTGTGATCGCAACAGCTATATTTTAATCCGACTTCCGCACTATCGTCTTCTTCTCGACGCCTCGTGGCACGCGGCGGCGCTCGGCGCGATGCAACGTCGCAAGGCCACTCTCGTGCAGCGCGCGTAGCTTGGCCAGCCAGTCGCCATGCGCGACAGCGACATTGTCCTAGCCCATCATCGCAAGGCCACTCCATCCTGATCGGTCTGTCGTACGTCACATGCAATGGGCTCCCATGCGCGTCCAGGCGCGCTCCAGTGCAAAACGTCGTCTCTCTACCTCGTCGTCACGTCATTGGTAACATATAATCCGAGTCCATTTCAGTTGGAGTCGTACGATTGGAGCCGGCGGCGGCGCGCGGTGATGCGTCGGCACGACCACAGGGCTGCATGAAGGTCGCGGCTACGACAGAAGCACTCGATCCTTGCCTTGACAAGCAGCTTACGTTGCAGTGGGGATACGCGAACGACCGACTCATTTCTTAGCGTCAGAGTCTCAAAACGCATATATTGTCTAAATATAAAGGCCGGCCTTTCGCCAACTCTACTGCTGCATCGAGACGGACGAAGGTGGCGCATGCTGTGGCGTGAAAGCAAAGTGCTCGAGCGCGGGTGGAACGAACCTACAAGACGACGATATATGAGCGGCGCGGTTAAGGCGCATCGCGGGCCAGAGACCCAAACCGTTTCCGGATGTCGCCTTTGACCGTCGTCAAGAGCTATGGCGCCACAACGTGAGGCCATTTCGCCCAAGAAAGTTGACCTGCAGAACACTGCGCTCTTGGTCGCCCCACGTGGCGCGCATGAGTCGTTCTTGCCGTTTGTGCGCTTCGAGCTCTTCGTGCAGCGACGCGACTTGGGCTTGGAGCGCTTCGTTTTGCTTGGCGACGAGGTGCATGCGGTCGGCCAATTGCGCCTACAGCACTTGGTTCGCTTAACAACCACTCGTGCGTGACGCTGCCTTTTCGCTTTGGACAGTCGCGAGCTCTGACTCGATCGACTCGGTGTAGAGGTGTTCGGTCGAGTGCGCGGCAGCGCTATCATGCATTGATCGATGTTGCGTACAAGACGAGTCTCAAGTGCTCGTACCCTTTGCTTTCCTGCTCGAACGCAAGCGTCTCGACGCGACTGAGCTCCTTTCGGTAGGCAACGCAGATGGCTGCGACTTGCGCGAGGCGGTCTTTCCCGACTTTGGCCAGCGCGGTGGCGCTCTCGTCGTCGTGACCGTGGAGACTACGTCCGATGACATCCGATGCATCATCACGACGACAACATGCCTTTTGGCTGCGCGGTGGACGTCGTTGGTGAGGCGAGCATGGCCTTGGGCTCCTGCAAATGCCTTGGCCGCTGCCTACGACCCCTATCGCCATTCGTGCATGCATGGTGGAGGTGCGTACGGCCGCGTGGCCCGTTCGCAAGGCCTCTTCCTCGAGGCACACATGTGTTAATTCGCTGAGATGGTCGGTGAAGAGCCGCTTCATTTCATGCCACTTGGCCTTCAGCATCTGAGAACCTCGTCAGCTTCGCGTCGATCTGAGCGACCGCACCTCGTGCTCGACGACGAGATACTTTTGAACGGTGGCGAGCTTGGCGTTGTCGATTTCGGCACTTTCGAGCCGCGCTTCCTTGGTCTCGAGGTCGTCGTTGACACGGAGGAGGTACCCGAGCACATCGGTCTTGCGCAGTAGCCGAAAGTACTCGTCCTGCGAGATTTCGGGCACCGCCGACGGCTTGGCCACGCTATTTGCTTTGGTCGATCCATGGCGCGGAGAGAGCTGCACAATGTGTGGCGACCGACGCTGTACCGCCGGCGACCGAGGCTTGGTGTTGCCACGGCTTGCGTCGTCCATCGTACAGCCGTAGCACAAACTAAATTTAGGATACCCTCTGAGGTGCCCCATTAGTTTCAAATTGGTTGTAAAATCATCGCCGAGGTCCGTGCGGCTCTACCGCACGGACCTCCTAGTAGCTGCTGCGTGCGTCACACTCCTTCAGCACTTGACAGCGTCTACTCGTGCAAAGTGACGTAATACCATGATGCAAACAGCTATGCAAACTCGGGTGTTGCGCTGAGGATAGGGGTAAAAGATCGGGGGCAAGACGCGTGACACCACCCACGCGTGTAGCGTCATGCGCAGCCTGGCGACACTGATCCAAGAAGATGAAACACCCAGTCGAGTTGCTTTGTCTACCTTGTCGGAACCAGGTGCGCACATTCGGGGAACGTTCAACTCTGAGAATAGGTAGGAATAAATACGTCTCTTGGCGGATTAAATTAGGGGTCGGGTTGCCTCAGAGCGCACGGCCACAGTGCCGGCACTCGTGGCTCTTGCGCGGCGACGGCGCCGACGACGACGACTCTTTGCGGAAGAGCTTGCGGAAGCTAAACTTACGCTTTGGGCTCGGCGACGACTCGAGCGTCGGTGTCGAAGCCCGACGTGTTGGCCGCGTGTCGACTGTTAGCACCATTGTGTCGAGCAACTCGTCGTCGCAGTCACTGTCGATGGGCCCCGTCTTCTTGGTCGACGGAAACGCCGAGAGGTACCCCGCGAAGAGCTCTTTGGTCTCCGCGACAAAGTCTTTTGCAAAGTACAGGTCGTCCGAGGCCATGTCAAACTCGGTCCCGCGCATCGAGTGCTGGAGAAGCTTGGCCAGCAGAATCGCGTTCGGGAGCGCGGTCGCGGCGAGGGGTGGCAACCCAATAAGCTCAGGCTTGATGATCGCGGGGCACACGATGCGAAGCACGATCGACCCACCGACAACGATCGTCGAACCGCGCACCGACTGCGGAAATGCGGCGTGGAACTCATCGAGGATGTACGCGCAGCTGAGGCGGAGGCGGTACGGCGCATGGTCGTCAAGGGAGCTCACCATGCGATGCACGACATCTTTGGCCAAGGCAAGGATCTGGTTGCGGTGGAGGCCGCCGAGCGCGGCAATCGCGTCGCCGAGGAGAAAGCGAAAGTACTTGCGGCCATACGTGTGTCCGAGGTCCTTCATGGTCGAGCTCAGGCCCGTGCTGGAGCGCAAGAACTGCTCCTCTTCGCCGCGGACGCGGTCGAGCTCGATGTGCACGACGCGCGCAAACGTCTCGAAGCTTGGCAGCTCGGCCATGCAGAGCTGCGTCGTCGTCGTCGTCGTCGTCACTCGAGTCGTCATCCGAGGCGGCCGACAGAATGGGAAATGCGAGGCCAACTGGCCGTCGCGACAGTTGCACTGTCTACTGCCGGCCTGCGACACGCGGATTGGACGTTGAAATTAAATTACAGGCTTTTTGGCAGGTATTTTATTACCTCCGGCAGTATACATCGCGTCTTATTGGGTGGACGAGATCCTGAATCCGAACTGGACGCGAGGAAGCTTCGAGGAAGGTTCGGCGCTTAACGGAACCCAGCCGCGGCGTTGGCGCCATCTCGGCGCGATCTCAGGAGACGCTTGCATGGCTGGGAGCGACAGCCTGATAGACGATCCACCCTGCAGTTGAGATCCAGGACGACCAGCGACTCGGCATGGACACGAGGTGTCGAGACGTGCGAACGTCTGGCGCGTTGACTACATGTAGGTTCAAGTGGGTATTTGACCACCGCCGTGTCTATCAAGTGGTGTAAGAAATCCCATCGGCGAGATCGATGCCAGCGTCGTGCTCAGGGGAAAAGGCCGAGCAGACCTTTCCCAAAAGAATAGTACTGGCTGCACGAAAGTGTAGCTGTATTCGATAGATCTTCTTGCATCTCGCCGTCGTCTCACGCGCGTTACCGCCGACACGTCGCGAGGTTGTCGAGGAACCACGTGGTCGTCTTTTGCAAGCCAGCTTCGAGGGTTGTGAACCGATAGGCACCGAGCTCCGGGCTCAGCGATCGGAGCTTGGCGTTGCTCGCGGTCTTTCTGTACTGCCCGTCGCCCTTGGTCGTGTCAAACACAAGGTTCCCCTAATAGGAACGTTCATACAAGAGCACAGGAGCACGTCATTCAGCGCTGACATACGGTGAATTGCAAGGCGGCAGCGATGCCTTCCGCGAATCGATACTTCGTCGCCAGCGTCGACAGCGAGAATCAACGGCGTCGTCTCGGTGTAATGGCGGACAACCCAGACGAGAAGCGTTGCCAAGTCGGCGCTGTAGATAAACTGCCGCAGTGGCGCGCCCGTACCACTTACGACAAACGGCGTGTGCGTCGTCTTGGCCATGTAGCACTTGTGAATGAGACCGGGAATGACGTGACTGTCGTCAAGGTGGAAGTTGTCATGTGGGCCGTAGACGTTGGTGGGTATGACGGACGTAAAGCAGCGCCCGTACTGCCGCGCGTAGCACTGATTGAGGGTATCGATGTTGCGCTTGGCCATCGCGTACCTAGTAGTACGGGCGATAGAAGTCACTCGGGAAAAGAGAGACAGTACCCGAGATTGGAGGCGTGGGGCGGCCCGTTGTGCAGCATCGTCTCGTCGATCGGGTACGGCGTCGCGTCGGGAAAGATGCACGTCGAGAGGCACGACACGACCTTGGCAACGTTGCATTCGTGGGCGACTTGGAGCACATTCTCGTTCATGCGCGCGTTCTGCATGAAAAAGTCGACGGGCTGGGCTACGTTGCGGTAGAGGCCGCCGACCATAGCGGCCAAGTGCAGCACATGCGTCGGCTTGTGATGGGCAAAGAGCGCCCGCGTCGACGCCAGATCGGTGAGGTCGGCCTCGCTCGACTGCGTAAAGACCCACGTCTCATCGGTCGTTGGCGCCGAGGCAATGCATTCTTGGACAGCCCGCCCGACGAGGCCCGAGCCACCTGTCACGAGCACTGTCACGCCCATGGGATTCTCGCCACACACACTGATAGCAAGAGGAGTATGTATACTGTGTAGGAGCGAGTCCGGATAGGGTTTTCCTTCAACACGATCGCTGACCCACAAACCTGCAATCAGGTCGACATGGCGCTGCTGACGTGCGTGGGCAGCGTCCATCTCGGCGGACCGTTCGACACATCGTGGTCGACAGCTGCGTAGGACTATCGCTTCTTGTCGGAGAGACAACATTGCACGGTCGAGCTTGGTTGGAGTATAAGGTACCACTAAGATCTTGGATCTACTTTTCCTGCGCTCGCTGGCGTCATGCGCGCATCGTCGTCCACTGCGGTGCCACGTTGGGTGCCTTTTGGAAGATCTCAAAACCGTACTTAATCAAGATGATCGTGTTTAAGCCAAGCGCACTTAGGCGGATTTGTGGCTGCTTTCGTAAAATACTGGGCTGGAGTATGTGGTATACAAACACGAAGCTTCCCACGGGCCATTCCACTCATATTGCACGATGGCCGAGGCCCGACCGAACGAAGCCGCGCTCCCGAACGAGACGCTCTACGTGCGGAACCTCGATGACAAGATCAAGGAACCGCGCATGAAGGAGTCTCTCTACGGCCTCTTCTCGGCGCATGGCAAGGTGCTCCAGGTGCTACTCATGAAGGCCCACCGGCTACGCGGCCAGGCATGGGTTACCTTCGAAGATGTGAACGCGGCCAGCTTGGCCCTGCGCGCGCTCGATGGCACCATGCATTTCGGCAAGGCCATGAACGTGCAGTTCGCTCGCGAGAAGAACGACCTCATTGCGCAGCGCGAGCCGAACGCCAAGCCGCGCGAGAAGCGAAAGCGGGAGGAAAAGAAGGAGAAGAAGGAGAAACCTGCACAGACGCACAAGGCACCCAAGGCGGGTGGCGGCTCGTCCAACTCGGGGCCGGTTCTGCCGCACAAGATCCTCTTTTGCAAGACGTGCCCGAGGCGTGCAACGACGAGGCGCTCGCGATGCTCTTCAAGCAGTACCACGGCTTCAAGGAGGTGCGTATGGTGCCGGGCAAGAAGGGGCTTGCGTTCGTCGAGTACACGGACGATGCACAGGCTGCGATTGCGCTGCAAGGTCTCAACGGCTTCAAGCTCACGCCCAACGAGCGCCTCAAGGTGAGCTTTGCCAAGAAGTAGACTGCCTCGTCCACCGTATGTCGTCCTATCCATTCTCTCTCCTGATCATACTTATAAGCCAACAAATACAACGAAGACGATCAACGCTCGAATACATATATATATGCTAGATAGAATAGAGGCCTCTATGATGCGGGCGCCTTCTTGCGGAGACTCCACGGCGACGTCTTGGTCTTGGCCAGCTGGAGGTCGGTCGCGTGCACGTACATGTCTTCATGGTCCACGCGTACGATGAAGACGTTCTCGTCCACGACGCTGGCCACGACACCCGTGCCAAAACGCGTTGAGACTGCGTCGCCCGTCTTGGCCTTGAGCAGCGCCTTCACGGCATCTTCCTGGACATAGCCGATGCTCAAGGCAGCAAACTGCACGACGTAGGTGTGGTCACACGGGCGAATCTACATGCCCACATGTGAGCCTTCACGTCGCCTGTGGAAACGATTGGAAATCGACCTCGACGATCGTGCCGTCGCCAAACGTTGTCAAGACGGTCTGGCCCACCGCGTACTTGAAGCGTGTTGTCGTCGTCGAAGGCTTGAGGTACTTGGAGGCGCGCAGCGCAAATTCGAGGGCCACGTTGGTGGTCGACTTGGGCTTTCCTGGTGCATCCTGCGATATATTATACGAGGCGCGTTCCATGCGCCAAGACGCGTACCGTAGGCGAAGCGTCGACGTCGTCGTCGTCCGCGTTGGCTTCGCTCGACGCAATGATGTCGCTGGGAGCGATCGTATGTGTCTCCTCGGCAATGTCCACTTGAAACTCGCGCAGCTTGGGGTCATAGGAGAGCACCGTGCCAGGCCCAACGTGCGTAAAGACCTACGACGTCCATGAGTTGCATAGACACGCAGCCATCGTCAGTAGTACAAAGTCGCCGGGCAAAGCAGAGAGCGGCTCGATCTCGCCGTCGGCTTCGACGATGACACACGAGCAGTTGACGATGTCCGTGTTGCAGAGCCGCACGATCGCGCTGCCGTCCGGCTTGACTTCGGTCACAACACCGGCGCCGGCCGCCGTATGGACAGACTCGCCAACGTACCGGCCACCCGGGATGACGACGTCGAGGTTCCTATGCAGACCACATGAGAAAGGGTTGGAGGTGCATACAAGCGTACTTGGACATGGCTCGGGAAAAGGAGCGCGAGACCTTCTTGAGCGTCGACGTGATCGTACTCGGGTGCGACGACGTAGACGAGTTGTCGTCCGTGTCTTCGGGCGACGACGACCGGAATGGGTTCTTCAAGAATGACGTCGAGAGGCCACGCCGGCGCTCCATGGTTGGGTCTTCGTCGGCCGTGCTTTGCTCGATCGGAAACGCAGAGAGGTCATCGTCCTCGTCGGCTGTTGACGGAAGTGATGATGGGATCGAGTTGGATCGGAACGGGTTCTTCAAGAAGCTCGACGAAAGACTCGCGCTGCGACGGCGGTCAGCGTGCAGCATGTCCAGCGTCGCCTCGTCGTCATGGCCTTCGAGGTGCGAAGAGTCATCAGGATTGTTGCCGACGGACGATGAGCGGAACGCGTTCTTGATGAAGGCTGGCGCCGTGACGCTTGTGCTGCGGCGGCGCTCGAGCATCGGTTCTGGCTCGTCTTTAGCGAAGAGCTTGAAGCGGCCCTTCTTGGCCTTCTCGTCGGGCGGCGACAGGATGTTGAGGTGCTCCATGCGCAGCTGCTCGAGGCGCTCGCGTAGGAGGTCCTCCTCGAGTTGCTTCGGGGACCTCTTCTTGGGCGTTTGCCAGCGGGTCAGGAGCTTCGCCATGGTGACTTGTCGGCCAAATCGAACATTGACACCGTCGTGCGCAACACCTTGAATTTCCATCTTTATAGCCAATCACATGCATCGAGTGTTCTTATGCAATGTGGATTGGCTCAAATCGTTACAGTCTACCGCGCGATTGGCGTAAAAAGATGGTGCGCCGGCCGACGACGATCTAATCGGCGGCCAGTGGTTCCGGCCGTCTTGGGTGCCACGCAGGCGCGCCGTGTCCCAGACCACGCCGTCGGTATCTTTGGCGGTCATCCAATTTGCGATTCGCCTGGAGCTTGCCGCTCGTCCTCCGGCTGAAGCCGATCCACACGTATCGGAATCTTCATCGCAGTCGTGCTTGCATTGCAACTACCTTTCTCGAAAGCGAGCATATTGACGTAGTCTCGCCTCTGCGCGAGGTTGAAGTACACAGTATATTTTACATGTACTCATGTTCTCGCATGAACAAACACCGCTTCGGCCGTCCTTTTTAAATGCTCATTTCCGACGCAATTCATTGACAGACGGGGGATCTGCACTCGCAACTTGTATTGGCCTGGATTTTATAACGTCACAAAACACCATAAAATGTGTCGGCCTCCGGAAATGCTCCGGGCCGCGCCCAAAAATGGTGCTTGCGATCGGCACGACCATGCGATCTTATTGGCCAAAATGGCGCCGCCAAAACGGCCAACCATGTTGAACCTTGCTGGTGCTGAAATCACGCAACTGCAGCCGCTCAGATACGTCGGTCCCACTCTTTGAATGGGCCACGTCCCGACGACGAGTGCCGAGCGCATGATCGTGGCAAGGTATGGAGCACCCGGAACCTAGAGCGACTTGTGTCTCGCGTCGAAGAGCAACGCCGGAGGCTACACAGCTGCCACCCAACACGCAATGCTTTGGTTGGGTGTTTCTAATCTACACCGTTGACGACAACCCCTCCCATTTGCATACTAAAATCAAGTGAAACAGCAAATGACATGCTGCACGATGCTGACCACCGTCATTTCCAGCCAGATGTCGTTTTTTGTATGTTGCCACGGCAACCGGTGCCACTTACAAAAGTACACGCTAGAGCGCCTCGACCCCGCTGCGATGGCCGTTCGACTCTCGACCTTGGCGCGACCGTGTGCTGCGGCGACAGCATCGCCGCTGCATGTCGACTGCGACCTCGGTGCTTTTGCCGGGAAGCGCGTGGCCTTTAGCTCCGCCACGACGTACGAATTTGCAGTCGCCTACGGCGGCAGTGCAATCCCGTCCAGCTCTGGGCCGCCCATTGGCCTCGCACGCCTGCACTCGTCGTTCACAACAACGGATCTGCGCGAGCTTTGGGAAGACGACGCCGACAACGAAGTGCCCACCAAGACGGTCCGCAAGTTCGAACATTTGGAACGCATTGCGCTGCTCAAACGGGCGGGGTGCCACGTCCAGGACATTGCGGTCTTTTGCTTGGAGGCCATGGAAGTTCGCAACTCGCGCGCGGCCAGCGTCGACTCGCACCGAAAGCGCAAGCAGCGCGTTGCGTTGTGCCAGACGTTGGCAAAGCGCCGGCGACTATGCCCATGGCGTGACGACGAGGCGTCGGACGACGACGACAACGACGACAACGACGATGAGAGCGATTGCTGACGCCCACGACGTCCTAGAGTATTTATTCATTATCAACGACCATTATCAACTTTGCTCCACCACCATCAACATCATTTTGCCCCTGCGTGGAATGTGTGTGTGTCAACAGACTCGACAAACGATCGCGGTTGATGCAGCCTTGCTACATTCAGCAAGGTCGCTCGCCGCTGCGTCGGACTAGTTCGTGCTCCTACCACAGGCGCAAAGACACGGCAGCGTGTCCCTACCCACCGTACTTTTAACGCCAACGCAGCGCGAGCGTCCACATACAGTACACCGCCACGAGATCACAGTCCGCGAGCTCTCGCTCATGGCCAAGGGCGCAGGGCACGACTGGTTCTCGCCATACTGCAATAGCCCAAGCGCCAAAGCCCGCGGCCGTTTGATTGGCCCGTCGCCTGAGCTCAATTTCTATCGAAAGCACCAGGGTGGTGGATCCGCCCTCCCGCGCATTTTTATCGTTTGTGCTTTTTCATTTGAAAATTGTAGTATAATGATTTAAATAGAGCAAGATTTCAACATGACATCCCGTCGGACCCCAGGTCTTTGTTGACCAAAACCAGGAGCCAACGCCGCAGGGCAACCAGTTTCTTTCGAGCCCGCAGCCTTCCTGAAGCCATGCAAGTGCTTCCGTGCGTCGACTGCCCGCGCGCCGACCTCGCCGATGACTCGATGGCCTGCATGCTCCTCGCGGTCGAGCGCCTCCTCAGCGCGCGCCCGCCCAAGCGCGTCGCGTTCACGACCGCCACGACGTACATGTTTGACGTTGCGTACGGCGGGAGCTCGCTCCCGAAAGAGAGCGGACCGCCCATCGGGCTCGCGCCAACGCACTTTGCCGCGACGACTGCGTGCATCAACGACATGCCCCGCACCGGCGCGGGCCGCGTGCGCAAGTTCGACCACCTCGAGCGCATTGCCCTCCTCAAGGACGCCGAGTACGACGTACGCGAGATCGCGGCGTTCTGTCTCGAAGCCATTGACGTGCGCAAGTCGCGCATGGAGACGCACGAGGAGCTTACGGCCCTGCGCCGGAAACGCAAGCTCCAAGCGAGCCACGACCGCGCCAAGCGCCGCTGTGTGGCCGACCCGACGTCGACGCCAGAGACGACCCTGCACATGCAAACCTGATGACCATCCAGCACCGTGTAATTTATCTCGTCCTAAGTTAAATCGCAAGATCGTTTGCCTGTACTCTTGGACGTTGTGTGGGCGAATGGGCACCTCAACGCTTCGCCAGTCGTCGTCGTTGTCAAGTAGCTGTCACAACGTCACAAGCACGACCCCTGCCTCAGCTATCAGCGTGCATCGTACGTTTGCAGGCAACCAAACGAAGGGAACGGGTTTCAAGCCTCGGTGCCAGCCGGCGATTACTGGTCCGGGCGATGTCGGCCCTGGCCTCCTCTCGTGGAAGCTGCAACAGAGCGCCGGGGCGGGCCAACATGCGATGCATACTGCGAGGGTCCTTTGCTTGGGTAGAGCGCTGCGGGAAGCGCATGCAATCGGCCAGGTGCACTGGCCCGTGGACGCGCCCGGCCGTTGCTGGCCATGATGACGATTCCACACCCAAATCCGACGTCTCATCCGCATACGCCAGCGATCGCGCGCACTATCCGGATATCGAACGTCGGGGCTTCAATGCGCGCAGTCTTCTCAGAGACGGCGTTGGTTGTTGATTGCCACCACTAGTAGTTCTCGGATGCCGCAGAAGGCTGAATCTGCGACGCTAGGACAAGCCAACCCACGCTCAGTACGAAAAGACCAACGTCTGCGATGTACGACTCTGATCGCACATTTGACCTGCGGGGCTTCTGCCACCTTCACTTATCCGTCGTCGCTGGTATAATCTCTCGGAATCGCCGCTCAGGAAGCTCGAATCTCGCACGTTGCACAAGTCCAGCGCACGTCCTTGATCGGCATGACTTTAATTCCCTCGCCGCAACCGCTGCCATCGGCAGTCGACGCCTTCCTAATCCAAGCTCCACACGCAGTGAGGGAGCTTTTGGGATACTGCAGCCCGGCGCCAACATTGGCGCTGGTGTAACTTGCGCGAAGGCGAGCGCTCGCTAAATGTATCGTGGCGAGTTGAAGCACGGGCGTGCGCGATACCATTCCCGTTCAGCATGTAATGACGTGGCAGCGTGATGCGCATGTAATGACGTGGCAGCGTGACGCGCCTCGTCGTCGGCGTATCCGGATGAGACAGTACTTGCAGTTGCGGGGTGGCGATATTTTTTCTCGCGAATACATTTCTCGAGTCTGAGAGAGAAGAAGCTTCAAAATATTGCGATCGCCAAAAAATCGAAAGATCCCATGCCTGCGCAGCTCGGGTCGCCCCGCCATGCCTTGATCATGGAAGGCTACCTGCTCTACCTCGACACGCAAGACACCTCGATTGGCGAGCTTGTCTATGGCGCTCTGGAGGAAGGCTTCCTCAAGCTCTATGCGTCTGCTGACCGCGCCACCGATGCGTTGCGCTACGAAATACCGCTCACGGACCACCAGCTTCGCGTCAAGCTCGTGCCGTATGGCGAGAACGGCAGCTTTGTGCCCTGCCGCTTTCAGGTCGATCTCGAGCCGTACCAGGCGACGTCAGGCATGATCCGTACGTACCTCTTTGCGGCCGCGACGTTCCAGGCGACTCAAGCGTGGTGCGACGCTCTCTTTGACTGGAAGCGCCATGTCTTTGATCCTTCGTTGCGATCGCTGGATATTGCTGGGAACACGGAGGCCTGCAGCGTTGTCACTGTGGCAGCGACCGAACGAACGACACTGGAAGCGCGGATCGTCGAGTGCAGCCTCGCGCCGCACCATGTCGTTAGTAGCTCGTCACCCACCGGCCTCGCAGCGTGGTTCAAGCGTCATTTCGGCACGTGATGCAGCAGCGGTCGTACGCAAATCACATCAACATTGCATTTCGTTACCCACGATCGATTCATCATCCGGTCTAGCTACTGGCTTTCTTTTGCAAGGCAAAGGCAAACACGTCTTGGATGATGTGGTTCTCAACGATGTTGTCGCCGATGCAGAGCTCCTTGAGCGCTGGACACGCTCCCTTTCGGAAGGACGCCGCGAGTGCGTGGATGCCGTCGACGTTGACAAAGTTGTCTTCGAGACCAAGGAACTCGAGCTGCGTCACGTGGCCTTTCTCAAGCGCCAATGCCAGAGCCATCACGGCGCCGTCACATGCAATGTTGCTGCCGAGAAGAAGCCAGCGCAGCGGCGACGCGTGCTGCGTCGCGAGGGCGACGGCCAAGTCCTTCATACCGCCTTCGCCAATGTAATTGCGACGAAGGTCCAGCAAGCGCAGGCGCGGGCAGTGCTGCCGCAGGAGGCAGTTGGCGACGTCTTTGGCGCCAGTATCACCGAGAGCATTGCCGCCGAGCACGAGCTCTTCGAGGAGTGGACACTGCGGCAGCGCCGCACAGAGCGCAGCCGTCCCGTTGCGTGCCTGTGTGTTGACAAACGTAGCGTGCAGCGAGAGGCGGCGCAAGTTGGGCAGCTCGCTCTGGGCCATGGCGCGTGCGAGTTGCAGGACGACGAGCTCGCTCGCTTGAGACGACGACGGTGGCGGCTCGGTTGAGGTTGCGTTAAAGACATCGAGACGCTCGAGGCGTGTGCAGTGCTGTAGTTGGCGCGACCGCAGAGGTGGTGCACGGGGACATGCAAATAGAGAACGCACGAAGGAAGAAACGTCGCCGTGTACCGGTTGATGCGCATGCATGCAAAGATCGTTCGTCCGTCGAGGAATGAAAACACGTTGCGCAGCACGTCCTCGTGGTTGTCGAGCAAGAACGTGCTTCTTGGCGCGCTGCGCGGGGCCTTGGCGCGGTGCATCACCGCCTCGTCGTCGTCACCATCGTCGTCGTTGCGCGGACGTTTTGTGGCCGATATGTGAAATGCGATTGGGGCATTCGGACTCGCGGCAAACTGCAAGATTGCTTGGTGGTGGAGCGCGACAATCAGCGATTGGACCCGGCGCTGTACCGAGTGCTCGTTGAGGTACTCGTCAAGAGACGCGGCCCGCAGGTACAGCGCGAGCTCGAGGCGGCGCACGAGCGACGGTAGGCGAGCATCGAGTGGTGGCATGGCCTGCACAAACGTCGTTTGGTGCTGGAAGAGCCACATGAGCTTTTGAATCATCATGCGGCGCATCGGGATGTCGACGTTGGACTGCCAGCTCAGCGCCGTCGCCGGGAGCATCGTGTCGTGTGGGGCAAAATGCGATCTTTGGTAGATCTTTCGAAAACGACCCGCCTTAAAGTGCATCCCGACGCTTCGCACAATCCAAGTTGGTGCAGTAGAAGAAGAAGAAGAAGAAAAGGTATAAGGAGCGACGATAGCAAAATTCGAACTCCACGTGCGTCGATATGCGATATGGAAGCCCTCGAGTCGGATGTTTGACCTGTTGCTATCGTCGAGCGGTCGACGTCCTTCTTGTGAACGACCTGCCATTTTGAAAAAGGGAAAGATCATGCAACATTGATTGCTTCTGTGTGTGCGGAGGACTCTGATTTCAGACACCGCTCCCACCCAGGTGAAATTTGTACCGTGCCTACTTCAACGTCGCATCAACTGAGGAAAATCACCACGCAGACCGAGGTGCGACGACGCGTAGCTGCTTAGACTAGGAGCGCTACCAAGAGAAGCGCCGCACGATCGCTATGGCACCACTGTGGGCGATCCAAGGGCGCCAGCGGCAGAGGACTGCTTGCTTAATTCTTGGGTACGTGGCACTGTCTCCAAGTCTAGTCTCGTCCACGTTACACACGCTCTGGCCAATCACAATGCATGGTCCGTCATCATGCGCTGCGATTGGTTGAAATAGAGTGGCTGTCAACTTGATTGGATTTTTTTGCATTTTTCGACGCATGGGCTGTCGCTGCTACAACCGGCGAAGTCAGAGCAAGGCCGCCCCGCCGATGATCGTTCTAGTTGATAGTAAGCATGATGCACGTTGGTAGCTAGACAGCACGGCATGTGCGATGGAGGCGTGTACGGAGGAGGAGACGAGACGGTGGACTATAAACAGTGCTTCTTACGTGTTATGGGCATAAGTTAATACTGCGTCATGGCAATCAATAAATAACTCGTTTTGTGCATCCTGGTATCGTCACTCAGCAAGCGTCTGGCGTCAGGCGCTTGGGTTGCGGCGCATCGCAAGGTGTTGCGACGCGCTTGCGCTTGCGCCGGAGCTCGGCCGCCGTCTCGGCGCGCGACTTGCGCACTTCGATGGCCTCCATGCAAAAGTCTGCAATATCGCGGCCGCTGTAGTGCGCCTTCTTGAGAAGTTCGACGCGCTGCATGTGGTCAAACTTGCGGACGCGGCCCCGCTTGCAGACCTTGGAGGTGCCGAGCTCGAAGCAAGCGACGTCGCAATGGTACCGTGCCATGCCAACGCCGGGGCCAGCTTCCTTTGGCACTGTGCTCCCGCCATACGCAACGTTAAACGTGTACGTCGTGGCGGTGCCAAAGTGGACGCGCTTGGGTGGCTGCTCGGCAGCGGCAGCGAGCACGAGCTCGACGAGGTCGCAGTCGATGCTGAGCGGGCTCGCCGGCGGCGCGAGGTCCTTCGGGTCGTCGAGCACCTCGATTGGGAAGCTCGTCATGGTCATGTTGGTCATCGATCGGTGGCTTGTTGGGTTCGTTGCGTATTGAGGTCTGCGAGCGTAACGACGCCAGGTTGAGATTTTCCGAGTTCCAGTTTTTGCTGGTTTCTACCGTTGAATGATGTTCAGCCGGGTGGGGCAGCAGCCTGAGACTCGCACTTTCTACACGCACATGGGTCTTGTTTAGTTAAGATCCGATAAATTTATCAACGAAAAATACACTTGAAAAGAGTTGAAAAGTGCTGGCGATGCGCGTGTTTTTAGCCAGACGCAATATAAAAAATAGGCCGCTAAATATAGCGACCGGTCGTGCATTTTTATTCCGCGTGCGGCAACTTGATCCGGCCAATCACAAGAGATCCGGTCGATGCCAGTTCGTAGAAAAGGAAACCCGGCGCGAGTTCTTTTGACGCTGACGCGCGGGCCTTTCGCAGCGACGCCGGCTGGACATGCGTCCTGGCCAATCGACGGGAGCGTTCGTTACTGTAGCCGCCAGACGTCGCGGGTTCAGCGGAAATGTGACATGGATCCATCGCAGAGCTCACACTGCAGAGCTCCACTGACTCCCGTGGCTGGCCGGCGAGCGAGCCACAGTCCCAACACGAGCATGCCTGCCAGTGTCTACACTGTGGAAATGGCGAAGACATGCTATCTTGTTGCAAGCACCGGTGCCAATGGTATGGTTGGAACGGACGAGATAGAGCACGAGGCCGGCGAGTGGCGCAGGCCCGGACGTCGCGCCACTGCCATGGATGACTGTCGCGAGGATAGACTCCACTATCATCGAGCTCTCGTTGGCCCTAAGAACGGCTACTATGATAGAGTACGCAAGGGCCGTGGTGGGGCCAACCAATAATCTCGTCGTTGCATGATTCCAAGGGCTGTGTATTCGATAATTAGGTGTTGCGGCGCTAAGATCTAAGCGTGCATATCGTCGTCGCTGCTGTCGTCGCTGCTGTCGTTGTCTTCCTCGCTGCTGTATGTGTCGGACGAGTCGCTCTCGCGCATGAGAGGCTGCATCATGCGTGGTCGATGTCGGAGGAGCACACGCCGGGCGGCAGCGCGCCTTCGCATCTTATTGAGGCGCGCGCGGGTGTCTTTTCGCGAGTTGCGGACGTCCATGGCCTCGAAGCAAAACTGCGCAATCTCCTTCACGTGGTAGTCAGCGGCCTTGAGGAGCTCGATGCGTTCGAGGTGGTCGAACTTGCGCACGTGGCGACGCTTCGTGGCGGACATCACGACAGCGGCCGTCGTTCGGTGACAGTGGTTGGGCGCGAGGCCGATGGGAGGTCCACTCTCGCTCGGGAGCGCGCTTCCGCCGTACGCAACGTCAAAGTAGTATGTGGTCTCGGTCGTGAACTGGACGCGTTTCGCCTTGCTCGCTGCCGCGTGGTAGCTACAGCTCGTCGTCGTTGCCATCACGCAGTCAGCAGCCATGGTCGGTATCGATCTCTGGTGTCGGTGGCGGCGCGTGCTTGGTCGCGCTCGGGTGCTTGGCTCCGTCGTGTTTCCGCTGCCGGGTTTTGTGCAGCAATGACGGCGGTCAGACACAAGGCATGTCATGCAGCAAGTTTATACAAAAGGCAAGACCGAGCGGAGGGTGATCATCCGGATAGGATCTTGAACCTGAATTTGAGCCAATGAAAAGGGTCGCGGCCGTCCAGGCGAACGCCCTGTCTAGCGGCGCCGCAACGCCCACGCGGCTCTGTCGCTATCGTAGCGCCTGGTGGACGATGCGACGACGACGATGGGGCGCCGCGTGCATGCAACGCTGTCGCGTCCTAATGGAGTAGCCTATACTATCCATCGGAAACCTACGATCTGGACCAACAGCAATGTGGGCGGCGTCCTGGCGATTTATCCGACTTTGAGATTTCAGGCCAGCGTATACGCGTCGATGGCATGGAGGCAGTGCATTGGCCGAGCTGCCCACGCCAATGGCCCTCGTCCTCTCGACGATCGACGCTAAAATCCTAAAACCTGGGACGCGGGGTGGCCACAACCATCGGCACACGATGACTGGCCAATGGAATCTTCTCGGGTCGTTCGCATTCTTTTGCGGCGCCACTGATGGTCGGAGCTTGTGTGTGTCGTGGATTGCATGGCGCGAGAGGGCACCGCGTCCAGCAACCGCATCCAACATTTTGTCCGATCTTCGTGGCCGTCCGTGTTGCCAGCAGGTGGTCAGTCTACAGGGAGCCAGCGTACTACGCATGCACTTGCTTGACGTCCCCAGCCTCCGAGCGTATCGACGCCTATCGTCGTAATAGTCTGAAGCGCCGTGCGCTTGCAATGCCTGCCGGAGCAACGACACGTTGATTGCGATTTCCATCAAGAGCGCTGTGGCACGTGTTCCGGGCGGCCATTGGCGGCTGCGACAGGTGTGTCACTCTGGAGGGATGTCATGGTGCGATACATACATTTACAGGGTACCAGGGGGTGGGCACATCCGATAAACGAGCCAGACGGTCCGTATCGCAGTCGGTGGAGCCACAGACGAGCGGTTCGCCAAGAGCCGTCCATCGTTCGCGCGATTCTGATCGGCGTAAGGCCGGTCTGGCCCTCTGTACTGTGTTCGACTGACTGCTGCGGTTCCTGGCTCGTATATCAAGTTTGAGGCTCCGTTGATGCATACTAGTATAGTCTGGAACGATGAGAGGAGGCTGATCCTCACGACCAACGCCACGTACTAGTGGTCCTGAAGCACGTGCGACTCCATCATGGGTGCCCAGCGCTTGCGACGACGCAACTCGGTCATGGCTGGCTGACTATATTTTCACCCACGGTTGGACTCGATAAGTTATGGCATGACCGCCGTTAAAGTGTAGTACACTATAAATACGAAGCTCGCGATGCCCCTTCTCACTCGTCGTCGGCATCACTGTCGTCATCCTCGTCGCTCGTGTCATCGTCTTCGTACTCCATGAGGGGCATCATACGTTGGCGCTTCGCGATCGGCGCGGCCTCGGCGGCGCGCTTCCGAAGCCGCGCGCGGAGGCGGCTCTCGACCTGGAGCCGCTCTTCCTCCGTGTCAATGCGCGATTTG